TACCGCCACTTAGTGGCTCAGTGCTGCACAATGCAGCAAGATCCTGGAAACTGGCAAGACTTGAATGTCAAAAGATACAGAGCAAGAGAGATGAAAATGATGTCAAGGGCACTGAAGCACTTGGAAACTGAAAGAGGCAATGGTGGGATGCAAATATTATTTCCAGTGCTTTTGTCTAAAGACTCAATTTCCAGGAGTTTTAATTTGAAATTAGAGTAACTGCTCTGTGCTGACCAACCCACTGGTGTTTTGCTTGCTTAATGTTTGCTTTCCTGATTGAAGTCTTGCTGGGTAGCACATTCTCATTTAGCAATAATGGCTGTTCACTGATCCAGAAAGGCAAAGAGTGTATTTCCTTTTTTGCAAACTTTTGTAGTTTTCAGGCTCCTTCACAGTGCGGTGCAGTTAGGGAAGCTTCCCCTGCATGCTTCTTCTTTATAGCGCCTATAGACAAAAAAAGACAAGGCTTAAAAGAACAAAGGCAAAAGGCAGAAGGAGAGAGATTAATGTTTATTGATATTTATTGATATCCTGCTTTTCCTCAATGGAAACCCAAAGTGGCATACTAAATTGTTCTCCCCTCTTTCATTCCAGCCTCACTAGAACAGCCCTGTGAGGTAGGTTAAGCTAAGAGTGGTGTGACTAGCCCATGGTCACCCAGCAAGCTTCCATGGCAGAGTGGGGATCTGAGCAGATCTGCTGGATGAGACCAATGGTCCTTGTAAACTAATATCCTGTTTTCCCCAGCTGCCAACAAAATGCACCCAAAGGCTCACAGACAGGGGTACAGAACCAAAGCTTCTCCCTGTTGTTCCCCCACTAGACATCTAGAGGTACATATGGTGTTTCCATTTAGCCATCCTGACTAATGGCCACTGATGGAGTTAGTGTCTATGAATTTGTCTAATCCCTTCTGATACCCATCTAAATTAGCAGCCCTGGATATATCTGGTGGCAGGGAGTTACAGAAGCTTATTATGCATTACAGCTTGGTTACAAGTTTGGAAAAGGGTTAAAGCCAAAAGTCTCATGAAAAAGAATGAACATGTTTTTTTAAAAAAAAGCTTTTCAGTCCTTTGAACATAGCTCTCCCTTTCTGAAAGCAGGTGGTCAAGCATTCTAAGTATCGTACATCCTGCCGAATCGCGGTCTTTCTGAGCATGTCGGATGAAGTCCAGACGGCAGAAATAATTAAGGACATTTTTCAGCAAGGCAAGGAGTGTTTCATTCCACAGTACAAGCTTTGCAGCAACCACATGGACATGGTAAAGCTGGCATCCTATGAAGAAATTGCTTCCCTCCCCTTAACCTCCTGGAACATTCATCAGCCTGCTGAGAGCGATGCCCGGGAAAATGCCTTGTCTGTGGCAGGTGAGTTGGGCTGCTTGCACAATAGAGAGGAGAGCAAAATCATGCCATCCCTTTGAGGGCATGAGCACTTTGCTGGGAACGACCTAGAGATAAATAGGAAGTGAGCCCGGATCTCAGAAGCTAAATAGGGTCAGCCATAGTTAGTACTTGGATGGGAGACCCTACAGGGTCACCATAAGTTGTCTGCAACTTGATGGCACTTTCAACCACCAATTAGGAAGCCACTGGAGTTTGGCTTCTGCCACACTTTTCCAGTTAATGTGGATGTCATCCACTCATTTACTTAGTGATTCAAGACAAGGGCATCTATGTTTTTTCAATAGCAGTACACATGGTCTACCTCGTACATCTGTCCACAGTCTTAACCTGTCAGTAACACCGATGTGGCAACGTTATTGCTGAATGTCAAAGTCAAGAGGCCCCTTCCTTGGCATATAGGTATTGGATGTGACTCAGATGTGATGTAAGTGCATTGGAGGCTTTATTCATACTGATTATCATAATGCCCCATTTCATGATGTAATGATGGAATTAAACTTATGATGGAATTAAACTTGAACAGCTCAAAACTTCTTTTTTTGCTAATAATCCCAGGCAGGCCACACCCCAGATTCAAAAGAGCCACATTTGGCTTATGGGCTGCATGTTGGATGCCCACAACCAAGGTGTTTTTATTTATTTATGAATGTATCTATTTACTTCATTTATACCCTGCCTTTTTTCCCAGTGGGGACCCAAGATGATTTACGTAATTCTCCTCGCCTCCATTTTATCCCCACAACAACCCTGTGAGGTAGGTCAAGCTTGAAGTGTGTAACTGGCCTAAGGTCACTCAGCGAGCTTCTGTGGCATGAGTGGTTATTCAAACCTGGCTCTCCCAGATGATGATGAAGAAGAGTTGGTTTTTACACCCCACTTTACCTTAAGGAGTCAAAGCAGCTTACAGTTGCCTTCCCTTCCTTTCCCCACAACAGGGACCTTTGTGAGGTGTGTGTGTGGGGGAGCTGAGAGAGTTCCAAGGGAACTGTGACTTGCCCAGGGTCACGCAGCAGGCTTCATGTGGAGGAGCAGGGAATCAAACCCAGTTCTCCAGATTAGAGTACACCGCTCTTAACCACTACACCGTGCCGATCCTAGTCTGAAACTCAAATGCAAAATGGTTTACAAAATTATCATTTTAATAGACAATTTAAATAAACTGAATGAATTAAACCAAGTAGTAATGATATCTTGGGCTTGTTCTGTATCTACTGTGTTGGTTGACCCAAGGCCCACTGGCTGTGAGACATGGCCTGACAGCCAAGACCCCTCTCGCTGTCACCAAATGGTTCAAGCCCCTCTGGCCTTGCTCAAATTTATATAACTGCAACAGGAAGGGAAATGAAAGTTTATTCTTGATGTTAAACACCCAACAGACACATTTGTAAGAATTCCCCCCCCCCATGTGCTTATGGTGGTTAATTGGGACAAAACGATAACAAAGCAAGTACTACTGGCTTTGAGCATTACATGTACCACCAAAGATTGTGCCTTCTGTTTTGGCTGAACACATGAAGCTGCTTTGGTTCATAAAGGTCAGTCTTGTCTACTCTGATTGGCAGTGGCTCTCCAGTCTCAAGTAATGTCTTTAACATGTCCGCCTGATCTGTTAGCTGGAGACACCAGGGATTAAAACTTGTGCTTGCCAAACAGATGCTCTACCGCTGAGCCAAGGCCTGCCTCCTATATGCTAGAGGGTGCAAAGGTTGGTGGTCTTATATCATACTGGTGGATAAGTTATAACAGAACCATCAAGCCAGAGATCAGGTGCTCAGGGAAACAAGGATTGGCTCTCCACTCTGTACTGAAGCCATGAATTGCTTGAACTGAAAAGCTAGACCATGGTCTACTCTAAAACTTTAGAAAACCTAGTACAATTGTATCCTATTCCCTGAGTTGTTAACTGCAGTACCATCCTTTGGCCACCTGTAGTGCTGGTGTCCAAATGCTGCAGGCCCAGAAGCTATTCAGAGTAAGACTAGCTCTGATTCTCCAGAGGGGAAATTCTGCAAGCAGATGTATATGATTCAGAAGAAGAGATTGGATTTATACCCCGCCCTTCACTACCCAAAGGTGTCTCAGAGTGGCTTACAAACTCCTTTCCCTTCCCCTCCCCACAACAGACTCCCTGTAGGTGGGGCTGAGAGAGCTCTGACAGAAACTGCTCTTTTTCAAGAACAGCTCGTATCAGAACTACGGTTTGCCCATTCTCTTCTGTATAGGTCCTTTCTTTGAATGTTACAGTGGAGGAGGAACTACAAGGTCCTCATGAGTATACACATCCATGTGACTTGCTTGGTGGTTCTTGTAGTGCTTCAGAGTAAAATTAAATAAGGATGCTTCCCCAAACTTATGGAGCATTGTGTGCTACTGCTGGAGACAGAGAAAAAGGCACATTAACATTGTTAGTATCTAGGGGAAAGTTTATTTTGTTGTATTTAGAGAGTTATACCCCCCTTTTCTCCCCAGTGGGGACTATACTGTTTACATGAGATGGTGCCAGGGGACCTTTGGTTCCTGTCAACAGGGAAATAGCATCATTGTTTTAGGACATGGGATAGATTGTACTAGCTGTTATGGACTAGAAGGGAAGAACTGGAGATGGGGCTGCCATTTTTGGTGGCAGCCCTGCATGTCTCTTTCAGATTATGTTCTGCCCTGAGATGGCTATAAAAGGAATTGAAAAGAAAGAGTGCTCATGAAGTAGTTTACAAATGATATGGTGGGGGGAGGCATGATGCTAACTGTAGAGCAGAGAAAATTCATTAGCCCCCTCTGTGTGTGAGAAGGTATAATGAGTAAGCTATGCAAATTCCAGGGAAAGGGTGAATCAGTATAGAGCAGTTCACTGTACATGATAGCCAATTTAGTGTAATGGTTAAGTGTGCGGGCTCTAATCTGGGAGAACCGGGTTTGATTCCCCACTCCTCCACTTGCACCTGGCTGGATGACCTTGGGCAAGCCATAGTTCTGGCACAGCTGTTCTTGAAAAAGAGCAGTTTCTGTCAGAGCTCTCTCAGCCCCACCTGCCTCACAGGGTGTCTGTTGTGGGGAGGGGAAGGAGTTTGTAAGCCGCTCTGAGACTAGTGAAGGGCGGGGTATAAATCCAATCTCTTCTTCTTTTTCTTTAGTTGTAGTACTGTCAAACCACACAGCACTTTGCTGAGTTCCAGGAGCAAGGCAGATAATTGCCTGCCTCAAAAAGTTTATGACTTTATTAAAATAGTGACAGACTGTACTTCTTTCCCTGAATGTGGACACAAAGTAGTCTAATTTATTTATGTATTTGTTGTATTTATAGCCTGCTCTCCCCTGTACAACAGGGCCCAGCACAGACAAATTAGTGGGAGGTAAGGGGAGGATGTATGGTTGCCTTCTTATGCCTCACACTCTTGGTCTATCATGCAATCTCAGGTCGAGGTCTTTCACATCACCTGCTACCTGATTCTTTTAACTGGAGATGCTGGGGACTGAGCCTGGGACCTTCTGTATGCAAAACAGATGCTCTGCCACTGGAGGAGGGAAAACCACATATGGTACCCTGGACACCTCAGAGGAAAGTCAGGATAATCTGAGACCGACTGCTTCTGGGCTTTCAGATGTCTTCCATAGCCCCTACTTGTGAGCAGAACTTCCCAGGGCATTTTATGCAGATCTCCCCCCATTCTGCATGATACTATGCATACTGCACCCTGTTGGGCAGGTGTCCAATAAATCTGAAATGTTTTCCCCAACTGCACCTCTGTGCCATGACTTGAACGTTACAGCAGAGGAAGTTGAAGAGCCTCTGCTTGGCATGCATTAAGTCCCAGGTTCAGTTCCCAGCATCTCCAGTTAAAAAGGCAGTAGGTAATGTGAAAGACCTCAGCTTGAGACCATTGAGAGCTGCTGCCAGTCTGAGTAGACAATACTGATCTTGATGGACCAGGGATCTCATTCAGTATAAGGCAGCCTAAATTGTAAAGTGTGAAGCTTCAGGAATTTTTTTTTTAAGCAGCACACGGAAAGGTGCTTTTTTATTCTGTAACTCTTAGCAAAGGCTGCACAAAAAGCAGCAGTTAGCATATGCCTCAAATTCAGCTCTGTTATGGAAATCTTGGGGAAAGATCATTTTATATTTTTATCAAACTGGTTCAGAAAGGCGAATGTGGCTTGGGGAGATAAATGGATGCTGGAGGCTCTGACTTGGAGGAAGAGAATGAGATCACTCTCTTGCTCAGAGCCTGTCTGTAAATTCTGCTGACAGACCCATTTTCCATAGTGAAGGGCCTGAACTAGTGGGTTGTAGCCGAACGTTGTCGGCCATAAGTTTGCTAGGCTGTCACATAGTAGTCAGGTCTGACCGGAGTATGGGAGGGGCCCTGACTTCAAATGAGAGCCAGCATGGTGTAGTGGTTACAGTGTCTGTCTGGGGGACCCAGGTTCAAATCCCAACTCTGCCATGGGTGGCCTTGTGCCAGTCACTGTCTCTTAGCCTACCTCACAGGACTGTCATGGTGAGGATAAAATTGAAGAGGGGGAGAACACTGGAAAGCTGCTTTGGATCCCCCCCTGGGGAGCAAACTAGGGTATAAATATTGTAATCCCTGCTCAGCCATGAAACTCACTGGAGAGACCTTGGGCCTGTGTGAGTCTGTTGCAGCCTGACTTATCTCTTAGGGTCAGAATGTTGGACACTGTCCCAAGCTCCTGGAAAGGATGAAATAAAAATGTGAACCTGTAAATGATGGCTTTGTCCTGTTGGGGTTCTGGTCAGCTGAATCGAAAGTGGCATGGGTACAGACAGGCACTGCTAGGAGCCCACCTGCGGGGATATGTAGGAAGCAGGT